AACACACTTTCATGTTTATAATATTAGTATGGATATCCTGTGCAAAGATTATAGAATACTACCGATTAATCAGATGGTCCTTTCTATAAAAGAAAAAATGAACATAATTGGGAGTATATTTCGGGTTATTTGTTTTTCTTATACATCCGATAGATGGCGCTGATCAGTAAACAGTCAAACTGTTTTACATTAAAAATATATTAAAAAAAGTTTTTTTTCATATTTATTTAAAACATAAAGAATTGTTTTAGAAAACCTTTAATTATAAAGAGTACATTTCAATAAAATACACAAATATTTCTAAAACCGCAGACACAGCAAGTACGACACAGGTTATGATACGACTATAAGTTTTCAGCTTGCTGAGTAGAGAGTCACCCTCGATGTCACGTTTTTGTCGTCTTGGGACGAACGTTTGCCATAAATAATTCTGAAAATTATATTTTTATGTTACTTAATATTATTAATGAATGTTGTTTATTAGTCAGAGCGTAACGACATCTCAAGAGAATTTCAGTAATTCATATTAACCGACTAAAAGAACGATTAAAAGAAAGAATAAAAAGGTACTATGTCTGGGTGTGTATTTTTTGTATGTACCTACCTTAAGCGATAAATCTCATTTTATTCGATTATATTTGATTTGATTATATTCGATTCATATTTTACATTTATAAAAACTTATTAATTATAATCAGTTAATATTATTGGTGTAAATATAACGTAATATACACAAAGAAATGAACGGAATTAAGAATCTCTTTTGTTTCAAAGTTTCTACTATAGACAATTTTTTTTGTAAAAGAATGAAAACAAGAGAAAGTAGTGATATCTCTCTCTTTCACGTACTCTTTCTCACTCTCTCTCTTCATCTACGTTGCAAAGAAAAGTTCTTACATATTTACTTATAGTATTCTTAAATATTTATTTATCGTGAATAAAACTAAACAATACTTGTATTTAAAAAAGAATGCGATTGAAAAATCTATGTGCAACGATAAATAAAAAAAGCTTTACCTTATCCGGCACAAAAGCGGGGTTTAACTCTTGCGGCATTAACGCAGATTGAATATCCGCTTCATTCTGTATCTTCTGAATGAGAGAAAAACTTTATTTGTACATAGATAGAGCTTAATGTAGCTTTAAAAGATGAAAACTTTGTTTTTAAAAATTCCTTTTACTTATTGGCTTCATAATCATAGTTTATTATATTTTCCCGCAGAAAAAAGTATCCTATATGGTATAGTATGTAAAGAGGCCGAATCTATAGTTTTTAGAATGCTGTCGGTCTATCTGTTTATCTGTGACCGCATCACGGAAAAACCACTGGAGGTATTTTAATGAAATTTGGTATGATGATAGCCGGTTATCCGGGTATATAGGATAATTTTTACTGCGAAAAAATATCTCATCTCTGAGACATCTATACGAAACGTTAAATGTAACTTGGGACGAACCCGAGCAGAGCCAGGGTGAGTCGCTAGTTACTTATAAAAACAAGCAATTATAGATAACTGTCCATCATTAACTTTAGTGCTGTCATACCGTCGTCAGTTAGCACTGAGTGAGATGAAGTCAATTAGACAAAAGCTCTCTGAAAGCTCTTTGTACAGTAAATATGTTACTTGTTGTTAAAACATACATATAATAAAACATACATATAATAAAATTCTAATTGAGTCGAATCAGTATATTAAATATTTTTGAAAAATTTTAGTACCTCCAGGTAAATTTATAAGAAATTAATTAAAATTCATAAAATCGATTGTTAATTGACACGCCGGCGTGTCCGCGGTCGTGGAGGGATTAAGAAAAAATAAGAGGCTTGTTATTTTAAAACAGCATACACAGGGTATCATATTATGATTATTAGACTTCGCTCAATGGTCGATTTTCGAGTATAATTATTATTGTATTTCTTTTGTTGAGAGCACTAAAGCTCGTCAGTAGCGTGGTAGTTGTTATTAAATAAAAAAAAAGAATCGGTTGACAAACACGAGTTGATCGATAGACAGAAAAAGTTACTGAACTGTTTTGTTTTTGCCTATTTATATAAAGACTAGCGACTCACCCTCGCTTCGCTCGGTTTCGCTCCTACGTACGTTTTAACGGTTAGTATGGAATACATAGACTATACATTATATGATATATGTATAGCATCCTCAATAAACAGGCTATCTAATGCAAAAAGCTTTTTTCAAATCGGGTTAGTAGTTACTAAAATTAGCGCGTTCAAACAAACAAACAAACTCTGCCTCTTTATAATATTAGTATAGATTATTAAATATAGCTAAAATAAATACTTCATAAATAACTCAAAATTGTTAAAAAAACTATCGACATCTTATTGTTGATGGGTAAAATGATGAAATAATTTCACATTTTAAGTTCTGAAATCAACAAGCTACTTAACATTCTAGTAATAAACACATAAAAAATAACAATTTGACATTTTAAAAACTTCTATAATTTATTATGTAAAACGTATACCGTAACGTACAGTACGAAGTTTGAATAATGATTTTTAGATACGTGTAAAAATGAAACTTTAAATTTTGTAGGTGCTTTCCGGTTATACCTAAACGTGCTCTCAACCGTTGAGCAAGGATTAAAATGGAAATAACCACTTCGACCTTTATCAATCAAGCTATACTGAGACTTATATTTCATGACTACTGCTCTGCCCCAGCTTCGGTTTAAGAATATCTAAGGATAGTTTCTAGCCAGGTTAGCAACAAGGTATTAATATCGCACAGTAAGCATTTAGTGTACTAAAGATTTTTCTATACAGTAGCAAAGTTGTGTACCACATAAGAAAGTCTAACTCATAGAGCAACGGCTCTGCATATTTTTTGTATAGCGGTGTTTTATATAGGTTATGGCTTGGAAAATAACAATAAAAATATAGATGAATTTCGGTATTTTACAAGGTCTCTGAGATAACATTTTAATAAAATGTTTTAAGCCTTAAAATCAAGGACGTCGGACATGAAAATCATATTAATAATTATTGTTCGACCCTTAACAGTGATTTTTTTCTTGAAAATGTTCAACCTGGTCTAGGTTAATCAATCAGTCAATAGAAGAAATATTTTATTTAATCTGTTTTATAGCAGCAAAAAAAAACACTTACATCCGATATTAATTAGTAATTTATCAAAAAAAAAAATACATTATTATTTGTTAAATTATTTTCCTATCCACGAACAGAGACTTGCGACCTAAAAATCTAGCCTCCAGATTTCTCTAGTTTTAGGATATTATCTGTAGCTATTCCATTACAAATATTACAATATGACAACAATTTTCTATAAGCAATATATTCGGCCAAATAAAAAAAAACTAAATTACGCATTTTAGGCAAGTGCCCAAAAGATAAAGTAATCGTCTGGAAAAGATAGATATTATGTAGACTTTAGGAGGATAATATAGATCGAATATCCAGCATAATGTATTTTAGACTTCATTATATAAACTGGTCACGAAGCCATATCTGTCCAGACTTGTACACAATTAGGTAACTTAGAGAGACATCACAACTAGTGTAGCAAAGCATTATTTCGCTTCAATTTATAGAAAAGAATATAAAAATTCACAGCAGTGTAATATAAATAAACTAGCGACTCACCCTCGCTCCGCTCGGGTTCATCCTTACTTACGTTTAAACGTTTAGTATAGATTTCATAGAGATGAGATATTTTCCCGCAGTTAAAAGTATCCTATATGTTGACCCGGATAATCAGCTATCATCATACCAAATCACAGTCACAGACAGAGACAAAACTATAGATGTGGCTTCTGTATCCATAATAATATCTATTTCAATATGATTTTCCAAAAAAATATTTAATGTACAGATTCGGCTTAGTTACAATTTTATTATATGTATAGATAGAAGATAGTAAAATATTTTATTTTATTTTTATATATTTGGGAAATATACAGTGCTAAATAATTATATATAAAACATAAACCAGTAAAGTTTCCACTTAAAAATTATTATGTTTGTGGGTGTAAGTTTATTTGCCAATTTTTTTTTAGAAATGATCACCTGTTTCGATGTTGGCTATTAAAATTTGTATTTTTATGATTTTATATATATAAAAATGAAGAATTATAAGTAAGTTTTTTTGCAGTCCTTCTTAAAATTGATATATTTGTTGATTACAAGTGTATTACTATCTTTTAGCAAGTTACAGTTATATTCGTCAACCCTAAAGCCGTTTCCCATCTTTCATATAAAAGTACGTATAAAAGTCGGGTGCGCCTCAACCGCGTCTTACATCGAACGCCCTATGATAATCCTATCGAGATGCCTTCGTTAGACCACTGTATGGATTAGTAGACTGTGCCGCTGGTAGAATTTTTGATAAATAATAAATTTCAGTAACATTGTGACATCATTTATGTATTAGTATTATAATTTTTCGCATTGTCAACTAGAATTGTCAAACGTTTACGAACCGAGTTACCCATTTGTGCAATTTACTGTTTCAGTAGTACCTAATATAATATGATGTCCACCCGACCGATTCCACGGCGGTCAATCTCACTGAGACTAGCCTACTGTGCAGGAGATATTATAGTGCACAAGTGCACTCTCTACTCCTGTCACGTCACGTGTGATGGGGGTGAAGCATCGCCAACTTCCCGACTCCGGACTGTTACTGAGACTTCCTTAACAGAAAGACTAACTAAATTTAGCCCGACCAGGACTTAATATATAATAAAGGGAGTTAATATATATGTATCTATGACATATAGTCAAAATACAATTACTTTTTAAACTTACTCGTTTATGTCCTTGAATAGCGACAGTGAGAAGGAACACCACCAGTATTTTCAACATGATGAAAAATACCCGAATTCCTTTAGAATTTCTACTTAACATACATTTTATGACAGCCATATATTTTTTCATAGCTATTTTATCGCTTTTCATAATATAAATGTTTTATAATAAAAAAAAACTTAGGAAGAATGTTGTGAGATTGTTAAATATGAACACTTTTGTTTTATTTGTTATACTGACGATTTATGTTGTTTCAGGATATCATGATAAGATTGTAAGTATTTTCTATATATGTTTATATTTTTTTATTGAAGTTATACTTTTGGCACGTTTAATAAAATTATGAGAGTAAAATTTTTACGATGCGCGCGCACACCGACAGCCAAAAAGTAACATGACGAAGTTAGCTGCATTCCTTTTACAAACAGAGACTTATGACATATGGGATAAAATCTTTAGCTATTTTTGTTCTGTTACGCCAAAGAAGTACCTATAACTTCTTACGGGCGTACATAAGTAGACACACACACGTTTTTTTAATTTTTTAACTGAACAGTGATGTCACGTGAACTATCTATAAATTATTGTATTCTAATATTGTCAACGAAAATATTACTTAAAAAAAAACAATTTGTTAAGTTTCCTTTTTGCTCCACTCAGCAGAACTGCCTTCGGAGTTTTTTTATGGACTTACAATTGTTAGTATCGTAAGTCCATCAAGAAGTTCGAAAGTTTTAATTTAAATGGAGAATTGATTTAAATGTGCTTATAATAAAAAAAAAAAAATTATAAATCATATTTATTTATGCTTGAGTGAAAAAAGGCTGCCACTTTCAAACAACCTTTCAATATATAGTACACAAATCGGGCTACCATTATATATCTGATAGTTTGTATGTGTGTATGTATGTTTGCTACTCTTTAACGCTAAAATCGCTGGACAGATTTTGGTGAAATTTAGAACAATAACTTGGAGTAACACATAGGCTACTTGTAGGCATCCAGGGATGTACCCAAGCAAAGCCAGGGTAAATCGTTAATGTAAAAATACACGTATATCAACGCCCAGACTAAACCACTGGAACTAAAATTTACTTGAAACTTGTTATTAATATTCTTCCATACATTTAATAAAATACGAACTTGCCCAAAACAATATAACATAATATATCCGTTGCGCATTTCCTTTTTAAATCTGTCCTTAGAAATCTACACTAATTTACTTTATTATAAAGAGGAAAGATTTGTATTTTTGTATGTTTGTAACGAATAAACTCAAAAACTACTGGACCGATTTAGATGAAATTTGGTAAAAAGATAGTTTGAGACCCTGGGAAGGGTTTAGGATATTTTTTACTCCGGTTCCTTTAAGGGGTTGAAAATGGGGTTGAAAGTTTGTATGAGGAGTCAACGTAGGGACGAATCCGAGCAAAGCGAGGGTAAGTAAAGCGCTAGTAATTGATATTTTTGTATGACACGATTGCTTGAAAAAATTTGACGAATATCCTTCTGTGGGTCTAAAATGCTCATTAACAGGTATTTTGACATGTTGTCAAAATTAGGTAAATTCACACTCAAAACACACTTTATAGGGACGCAGTTTCTTATTTTATCTCATTTATTCGATTAATTGCGAATTAATCTTTATAATGATATCAGAGTACCTACTTTTATTGCATGAGACGTAAAGACCTACGACATACACACATATACTAGTAATATAACGAAGATACTCTTAAATTCATCTAACATCAGACATATTACATAATATCTAACTATCTGTATATAAATAAGTAAAAGTAAAAGTTTTTCACTGAATGCCTACAAAAACATATACGGTACTTAAAAGAAAAACATAATTAAAAAAAATGTCTGTCTGTCTGTCTGTCTGTCTGTCTGTCTCTCTATCTGTCTGTTCCGGCTCCGAAACGCCTGAACTGATTTCGACGGAACTTTCACTGGCAAATAGGTGATGTTATAAGGAGTAACATGGGTTACTTTTATTTTAGAAAAAGTATTAGGGTTCCGCTCAAACAAATTAAAACGTACTCAAGGACGCACTCAAGCGAAGTGAGGGTTTGTCGCTAGTATGTAAATATAAGCAAAGTAAAGCTTTTATCAAAGCATTATTAAGTTTCCTTCTAAGTGTATAGTTTGTACGGATGAATTCTGCAACAGCCTAAAGGGATCGGTAACTGTAGAGACACGAGTCCCACTCGTGTGAGAGCACTTTATGTAAAAAAACAATAGTTTTTCTTATAAGATTACTATGTTATAGTTAACTGTAACTAGTCTTTAACCGATATAAAAGGAGGTTTTCAATTAAAGTGTAGTTTTTTTTTATAGTGCTAGTGATATTACCTGTGTTAGTGATATTAATAATATTTTTTAATGAGTAACATTACTTAGTGATATAGAAATTGAAAAAAAATATAATAAACAAATATTGTAAGGGACTTTGATGCCATTTTTGGGCTGTCTGTAACAAATATAAAATGCCTTTGAGACGTTTAAAACCTCAGTCTCTCCCGCGACCATTATTTATGTACAAAATCGAATCGTCGGGAATCAAAAATCAATAAATCCGAGAAAAAAATCAGAAATGATAGTTTATATGTAAATCTAAGAATAGAATTATTAAATAAAAGTCATCTAAAAGCGAACTTTTAAGGTGATTTCAAAATTAGTGTAATTTTTAATTAAATTTCCTTATATTTATCGTTTACTTTTTAAGCTTAGTTGTCATATAGCAATTTTATCGATTGTCTTGTAGCTTATTCATACTTTATTAATATTGTAAATGTGAAAGTGGGTTTGTTTGTCCTTCTTTCACGTCAAATAGAATAGGGGATGAAAGTTTGTATGAAACTACCTTTTTAGAGTTTTTTTGTAGTTTTAGCGCGAGCGAAGCTGCGGGTTCCGCTAGTTATCATATAATTTCATAAAATGTGTCAAACAAAAGGGTCCCCAAAAAACTTATGTGATTCGATTTTCTTTAGTTTTTGCTTCGGAGATAAAACAAAAACTATTTACGATAATACGATATACGGAAAGGTATAGGATTTCCCTTACTTTTGTAGAGTGAAACGAAACGCTAGTTCCCTTATTCTATTATACATAAATATACAACTATACTTAGAGTGTTGTGTTATTGATCTTTCTTGGTCCAATTTCATTTGATTATATTCAATGATTAAATAATCATGAAATTATATTTCTCATATGCAACTACTTATTGGACAATAAATATCTTTAATAAACTGACGATGTATGAAGTGCGATTGGTTATATATTGCACGATGTTTCTATCGATTGAACTAATTTTAAAAACAGATTGTATTTTTAAATTAAATTAACTCATTAATCCATTTAAGCTTACAAATGTATAAAATGACTAAGGACTCACCCTGGCTCCGCTCGGGTTCATCCCTACTTACGTTTCAACGTTTAGTATAGATTTCTCAGAAATGAGATATTTTGCAATAAAAAGTATCCTATATGTTGATCCGGATAACCAGCTATGATCATACCAAATTCCATCAAAATCCCTCCAGTGGTTATTCCGTGATGCGGTAACAGACAGACAGATAGATAGACAGACAAAAATTCTAAAAACTATAGATTTGGTCTCTGTATCGATAATTATATCTATTTCAATAAGATCTTCCAAAAAATATTTCATGTACAGATTCGGCTCAGTTAGAACTTTATTATAATAGAAGATGGCACACGTCATTAATGCGTTTAGAAAATGTAGTGCCAATAGGCCCTAACTCGTATGATTATTATTATTGTCGTACAATAACAGTCCGTTACATAATAGCAACTAGGAGGAAATTGTTATTAAATTCTTCTAAAATAAATATATAATCACTTTGAACAAAACAATTAATTTGTCAAAAAATATAAAAATGGCTACAAAAGTTTTTTTTTAAATATTTTTCTTATTATTTTAGCCCGAATTATCTAGACATAGGCGTGATACCTTGGGCGCTTTGGAAATAATTACTAACCACGCAAAACCTATACATGCTGATGTGAAGAAAGATAACACAAATACAACTGAAAAGGTAAACAGTATTTATATTTGAAATATTCAACCTTCTTCTTCTTTCCTGAAAATATATATAAACTACATACAAAATACCAACTTATAAATAACATACATTTGTAAGAGCAATGAATAGGAAATATCTTTTGGTTTATATATACTATAATAAAAGAGTATAGGTCGAATGTCTGTACATATCAAAAAAATGCTAAAAACCGAGTCAGGGCGATGTAAGAAGACAAATAGAACAAAGCCAGATTTTTTCCAATTTTTTTGTTTCTCTGTCTGTTTGTCTGTTTGTACGGGCAATCTCCGAATCTATTAGACCAATTTGAATGAAATTTTGCATGGTAGTACCTTATATCCCTAAGCAATATTTTAGATACTTTTTATCCCGGAAAAATAAATAGTTTCCGTGGGATAGTTAAAAAACTATAATAATTTATACAGCTTTGTACACAACAACTTACGCACCTAATTTAGTAAAATTTAACATTCTGATACCTTATATTGCCGGTCAAACAACAGGTTACTTTTCATCCCGGAGAAATAAACAGTTCCCGTGGGAACTAATAGATCTCTATCAGTGTTTTTCTAGAGGCGAAACACTAAGTATATATGTATATGCACTAAGTATATATATACTTTAGTGCATACACATGTTTCGCATTTCTGAGGCTAAGATTCTGATTATAATTAATTATTATTAAATAATCTTACCTTTTAGTATAATACATTCTTTTGAATTAAATAAAAACTCCTTATTCCTATCCTTAAAACTACGTACCTTTGTCCAGTATAAAAAAAGAACTAGATTTAAAATAAAATAAAAAATCCGACTGCGTAAACAGCAAAATAAACGGATGAAAACAAGTTGACGAAGGGATACATAGTAGCTATATGTTCTATAGAAGATACTATATATAACGTGTACTCGTACTTAACTAAATTTTATAAGTATAGAAATAATCTAGTTTAAAAATAATTAATAATTACAGCCGTGTCCAAATACATACTTAGAAAAACTTCCATCTAAAATCGAATCTGGTGTAGTCTTCAAGGTAGGGTACTATTTTTTTTGTAGTATTTAAGAAAAATATGCAGTGGTAGCCCATTGGTAACGCGCTCGCTTGGGAAACTGAGTGAAGCGGGTTTAAGACCCGGGTCTCGCACCTCTGATATTTTCATGTGTGAATCATTTTTAACATGATTACCACTTACCTTACGGTGAAGGAAAACATCGTAAGGAAACTGTCTGAGAGAACTTAACAAGTTTTCGAAAGACATGTGAAGTCCGCCAAGCCTCACTTGGCCAGCGTGATGGACTATGGCCTGATCCCTCTCGTATTTAAGGGAGGAACGTGCCCAGCAGTGGAACGTTAAAAAGGGCTGAATACAACAAAAATACTATTTTAAATTACTAAATATTTTTAGGTGATTCCAACTCAAGACATCTATCTACGACGATCGTTAAGAAGATCTATCCCATTGAGTACTAAATTGGATTTAATTAGAGGTATTAGTAGGTTGGTGACGATAATCGCGCTAATCATCTCTGCAGTACTGGAGTTCTATCCCGTTGTGCAAAATTTGTATAACTTAGTGTATCAATTGGTTGAATAAAATAACATTTATGTATATAAAAATTGACTATTTTATTTTTTAAATTGCAACTTACAAGGTAAAATTACTAGGTTCGAGTTCCAGGTTGGATATTGAGTTCTGACAAGAAACTCTCAGTAACAGCCCGAAGTTTAGACGTTGACAGTGATAGCCCCCACGTTACGGTACAGCACGTTAAAACGTTACGAAATCAGTTATCGTTCCTTTATACTATGGGAATTATAGGAAGAGATAGAGTTCGCGTACACACTAAAAATATTTCAACAGAAACAATGTGAAACAAAGGTTACGTAACTAAATATATTAGCTATATAAGTTCTTGGATGTACAAATTAAACCATTACTATTTATTATATACATACTAGCGACTCACCCTAATTTCGCTCGGGTTTGCTTCGGGTTTTAACGGTTAGTATGGAATAGATAGACCATATATTATATTATTGTTCCGCTTCCTCGAGTAGTAGCATGATAATACATACACTATAGCCTTCCTCAATAAACGGGCAATGCAAAAAGAAAAATTTTTCAAATCGGATTAGTAGTTCCTGAGATTAGCGCCTTCAAACAAACAAACAAACTCTACTTCTTTATAATATTAGTATAGATAATATTTTATATGAAATGAAATTATGCACATGTATGATTTACCTTTTGTTTATGTAACTATGAATCTCAGCTAGCAATTGAAAAAAGTTATTACACAGGCGGAATCCGAATTGGGAATCCAACCCAGGACTTGCGGATCTGCAGCCGTAGTTACGAGCCACTTGGCCTAGCATCATAATCTAGACACAAGTCAATGAGACATTTACAGTCATCAGTTCAGTCCCATGTACGTATGTATCAATTCCATGTACTAGATATCTAAATATAAGTCGCACTAAACTTTGGGTTCCGTAGCTACATGCATAAATATCGTAAAAACTGAACACTAATTTTGGCATGACCAGTTAGACTCAGTTCATTATAGACATTTTCCTGGATAATATAATGAGATATTTGTGGATGGTATTTTTAATTTTGGATGACACGTTTGGCTCAGTTTGTAGTGATCCTTGCTGTGCCAGCGGTTGCGGGTTCGAGTCCCGCTGGGAGCATTCATTTGTGTTTGTACTCGTCATGGGTTTTTATATTTATAACATGTATGTATTTAAAAGTTATATATGTGTAGTGTATCAACTATCTGGTATCCATAACACAGGCCTCGTAGCATACCATGGAACTAGATGGTGCTGTGTATTCCCAACACATTTATTTATTTTGTAGACTCTATATATTTAACTCTATAATTTAACATGATGACAGAAAAGTATAGTCGTACCTAAAACTAACTTATAATTAATGAATGCGGTGAAGGGGAAGTAAGTAAATTAGTTGATTAATTATTAATTCAACAATTCAAATTAGTTCCTCGGTTTTCCCAAAGGGAAGCTAAAACAGAAATTTGATTTTCTATAGTATTATAAAAATCAGTAATAAATAAAGAATACACAAGTGTTGCAGATATGTTCTCTGTAAGTACCTACTCAAATATCGGGTAAATGTTTTTTTTTTGTGTATTTTAATCAATAAGCTATGCAATTTGATGAGTGTTCATTTTATTTAAAATTGAAGCCCGAGTTTCGTATATCTATATAAATAAAAAATGAATCACCGAAATGTATGTACATACGTACGTATAATTCTTTTTTTGTGTTTGTTATTGTCAGGAAGTTTTGTATAGAAGAAAATTCAAAAAAAACTTTTTTTACTAAACTAAGTTTTTTTCAAAATCTCATGATATGAAATAGTTTTTATCCCGGAAATCTTCCTTAAGGGGGTAAGAATGGGGATGAAAGTTTGCATGGGAAGCAAGCTAGGAACGTCTCTAGTAGAAAATAAAATTTTCAAGTGCGGATCATTTTTAACAATATGATTAATTGCTTATACGGCTACAAAAATATCGTGAAGAAGTTTTAACATCTAGTTTGAGAAAATTGTAAACACTCCATGTGTTTGTCCGCCAACACTTTTATGGCTAGTCTAGTGGATGTGGCGTAAGCCTTCTCGCATTGAAAACAGACCCGTGCCCAACAGCGGAACTTTAAAATGACCTGAATGACATAATTGTTCCGAAATTAAGTGGAAATCAAGAGGTCATACCTAAATATGATGCTTATAAACTGAATTTGAACTTCCCTGTAGTTTAAGTATTTAAATGATAATAATTCAAAGTACGAATATCCAGAAACTGCACTGAATAGTCTTTAATTGGTCATGAATTGCAGACTCGTAAGCATTGCAAGCTATTACATGTCATCCTCAGCAGACTATCTTATGCCATTGTAATAATATATTAATTTTTTAAATTATTACGTACAATACTTATTTAAAAAAATATATCTATAAATATAAAAAATTAATTACTGTTCGTTAGTCTCGCTATAACAATAAAATGGCTGGACTGATTTAAATAGTTTTTTTGTTTTATGGGGGGTGTGTCAGGGATTGTTTCAGTATAAAAAAACAATAGGGAAACCCATGCAAACTAATACGTAATATCACTGCGTCATATGGCTTAATAAAAATATTTTTTTTAATTATTTCTATGTCACACCATGTAAGATCAATTAATGTCGAGGTTATATATTCCTAAACATTCTGGTTAGATTTACTCATTAGTATTAATAATAAGGTGACGTGTACAATTCACTCATACTGCGATGGAATTAAATCTAGTGTGGATATATTTTTTGATTCTATATTCAGATTTTACTTTGAGTGAAGTAAGTGATATGAATTTTCTTATTTTAAATAAATTATTATCTTCTCAAACATTTCACTGAGATAAAATGTTTGAACCAAATATGATTTAATTTTAATTTTTTATACAAATCAAAGTTACTAGAGCAAAATATGTTCTGTACAAAACTAAAATTTTCAATTAACAATTAAATATTTTTTTTGTGGCTAATAAATGCTGCTTGTTTTTAATTTCAATAATTTTAAAGCTAAAATAAAAAAAAATAATTGTTTCATGATTCTGTTACAGGTTATTGAAACGGATGGTATACCAAGCCATTGGAAACGATACCATAAAATAGTAAATAATCCTGATCATCATAAAATTAACCCTATTCAAAACAAAAAATCAAGCAATAATATATTAAATTACGGACTTGGGGTTCAACGTCCTACTAAAGTTGTACCTAGTACTGACCTACTATCGTATAAAATCATGCAACCCACAATAAGAAACTTAAATTCAATTTCTGATAGTAGCAATAAAAAATTATGTGAAAAATCTGATACTAAAACAGCCCATAACAATGAGAATTTGAAAGTTGAAAATAAAAACGCTATTTATGATAAAGAACAACATATTATAAATGAACATAACAAAGATATAGATCAAGTATTAGAAAAATGCCCAAAACATACGGAAATTGAAAACGTTATCAACAAATTTAAGAATGTCGATACATTTGAAGAACCAAATCATGCTAAAATAGATACCGTACATGAAAAAAATATTATGTTGGAAATGTTGCATCCAGAAAAAAATGATTCAAGTAGTAATGTTCTTGACAAACTTTGTAGAAACGAAAGTTTAACAAAAAGATCTGAAGAACCACAAGAACACGAAAATATAACCCGTCACAATAAGGAACAAAATAAAAACAAAAGAAATGATGAGTTCATTATTAAAAGTCACGGTAGGTTTTAAAATAAAAACTTACCTTTATTCATTTTTCGACTTTTATATATTAGCCATGTTTACAGAATTTTTAATATTCGTGCTATAATAAGTAAGATTTGGTTTATAATTATTGTTAACGAACTTAAGCAAATTATTACTTTTAACATTATATTTTTTAAATATTCCAGATTCTACCGAAAAAAACCCAGTAAATACAGGCAAAATAAAAGACGATGAAATTAGATTTCATGATCAGCAAAATATTCAGGCAAACTTTTGGCATGCACTCTACAATCCTAAAGGGTGGATTCGCTACTTTATGCCAAATCAATATTCCTTATCAGACAATTCAAACAATTATATAAACAAACTGTACTCGAGAACGAAATATTCTAATCCCTTTTATGATACACAAGGTCGATTTACAAGGCCTTTGAATTATGGAGCCGATATAGGAGATACGATATAGTAGACCTGATGTTAAATATTAGCATAGGTTACAATTCTATTTTTTTTGTAATAAATTTACAGTGAACAGCAGCAGTAAAAACGTAAAAGTAGCATTTTTGGTAATAATATTAATACGAGGATAAAAATAAATTTCTCATTTTGCATGTAATTTAATATATTATTGAAGAATTTTTATTTTTTGAGATTTATTATTTACATAATTAGTTTTTCAAATTAAGTGTAAATTCAGAATTTTCAAGAGAACGTATTACTTAATGTAGCGCTAGTGATTTCATTCAAAAAGAGCAAAATAAATGTTTTAATTAAAGAAATTTAAGAAAATATGTGATTCTTTATTTATTCTAACATCGTATTGGGTCAAAATTCCCAAATTTTGTATTTACAAAATATTATTTCATCAACTAATTACTTATCTAAAATAGTCTACAATATGACTGTTTCATTCCACGGTGGTGTAGTGGCTAGCATGTACGGCTGCACATCCGAAGGTCCTGGGCTCGAGTCTCGTGTCTAGCCAAGTTTATTATTGAGTCTATCTGTTTAGTAAGCCACAGTAACAGCACGGAGTTGGAAAGTTGGTGGTGTTTTACCCCTGTGCCTCGGAGAGCACGCAAAGCCGTTGCTCCTACGCCTTAACTCTCACTGGTCGTTTCGAGTAGTCGTCAAACCAGAGTATGAAATTGACAGGGATAGAGAGTGTACTTGTGTCTGCGCGCACACTTGTGCACTATAATATTTCCTGCGCAGTTGGCTAGTCTCAGTGAGATTGGCCGCCGTGACCAGAATCAGTCAGTAGGACTTACTTATTTCATTCAAGTAAATTAGTATTCGCTCGACTTGAGGAAAATATGTATGAATAAAATTTCCTTATCTATATAAAAAAAATAACTGTTTCCATTTTTTTAAATGAAAACACTAATGCTCGTCAATAGTTGTTAAACAAAAAAAAAGGAGAGCGGTTTACAAACAGAAGAGAAAACATACTGAACTGTCTACCTATTAATATATATCTATATATTATATAAAAAAACGTTTCAAATCAAATTATACTTTATTCAAACTTTTACAAAAAAAATTGAATCGTCAATTTTTACATCTTTGTAAATTTAATTTAAATGTCCGTATGCATGTACATATATAAGAATATGTATATAAATCCGTGAGGAATCTTAAGCAGTTTAAGATTATCTTTATATCTATTAGATGCTAATTTCGCTATCCTATTGTTTATTATTAGAAAAAAAGATTCATGTCATAGCAATAGCTTCTGAACAAAATACCTATGACATTCGAACGCACAGACACATTAAAAATTCAGAAAAAAAATAATATTGAACTCCAATTTTGCCTAACCAGCTATATAATATAAGTAACATTCATATAATTCATATAATTTCAGAAATTTACCGTAAATCCACTGTCCGCCTAACTTGATATCTGACATTGATGAGGGTTGCTGTACAACAAACAATAAATGGCAAATATATCCATTCAAAATTCTAATTTCTTTTCTATTATACCTCCTCAATTAATAATGTATTTGAGACAACGTTAACAAAGGCCTTTTTGACACGTTTATTAAGGTTCTTTTGATAACTACTTATTCAAACTCTGTGAGTCAACTTTAACCAACTTTGAAAAGTTGTTTAGATTTTGAGCTTTGTGAGTATGCGATATCTGGATTACAGTACAATAATTAATTGGTATTATCGAGCTAATTGAATGATGTAGTCAGGATGTTTTAAAAGGAATTCTTTCATGATGAGACGTTTGTTATAATAATTTCCCTTCTTTGAATAACTTATTTTCTTTAAATAACCTAAATCTGTAACACTGTCTGCATTTACTGCCGTCATAATAAAGAAGGTACCTAAGAATTTGATCAAAAATGACTTAAATGCAGATTCGGAATCAGCAAAAAGTGCTACTTAATAGTCTTACTCAAAGCTCTTACTCTAACTCTAAGTCTTATGAATCCGGAGATACCATAACCATTTTCATCGCAGTTACGTACTATTATGTACTAAAACTTCAAATATCTCGAAATCAACTTTGACGTAGCGGCCTTTTTTATGACGGCAGTATATTTGGGCCTGAAAAATAATTTATTGATAAAATTTATATGATTTATTTGTAAATCGAAATCATTAGATCTTGAAATAAAAACGTGTAAACGATACCTTAATTCGAACTACAAAAATGTTCGTATTTGAACACATTTGATTGACACTCTGTCCTAATCATAATAACCTCTTTTTCATGACTATAGTATATTTTATTTACATATTATTATATTATCTATATATATAAAAGAAAGTCGTGTTAGTTACTTCGCTTATAACTCAAGAACGGCTGAACCGATTTAGCTGAAAATTGGCAGGGAGGTAGTTTAGAGCCAGGAGAAGGACATAGGATACTTTTTATCCCGTTCGACCGCGTTCCAATTTTTATGATATTTTAATTTTTGGATTTCTCTTAGTCCGGAATAGGTAAGTATTAAAACATATAATTAAAATGTGAGAAAGAAAGATTTTTTCTTTTTATATCTATTTAAAACGTACCTAGCGACGAACCCGAGCGAAGCGAGGGTGAGCCGCTAGTTTATAATACCTATAAGAAAAAAGGATGTAATCCCTTAAAGAATTTTAAAACAAAATTAAACGAAACACTAGCATTAAAAATAATACGTAAAAAGTAAAATTGTTTTAATATTTAAAAATCTTGATTCAATACGAGTATATTACTCTAAGGGGTTTATTTAATTCAACAGGAAAACGCCGACCAGCAGTGTTGTTCATGGCTGTCCACTGTCGAGAGAGATCTGAAAAGAAACAAAATATCCCACCGTTGACTACCTAGAACATAAAAAAGCATAAGAAGGCCCGACGGCGGACCCCAAATAAAGTTGACAGGAGAAAGAACAGAAGAAAAAGTAGAGTTATTCAGTTAAAAGGCCAACATAGTAGGCCATTGCACTAAATGAGGTACGGGTTCGAGTGGGTATTTTGGGTTTACCCGGTAAGCTCCAAACACCTGCTTTGGACGGAGGAAGGTAGATGATATGGGTAAAGAAATAGAAATGGGTTCCTAATGCTTTCAATTATCATATTAAAGAAGACTACAGTAATTTTTAATGACATATCATTTCAAAAATAACCAATATCGGACGTATTTTTCCTACGGTTACGCTCGCATGGTCCATGGGGTAGGATTAAACATATGTATATATAATGATATATGTATCCTTATTAAAATTTATCGAAACTTGCTTAGTGGTTTAAGCATGAAATAGTAGCAAATAGACATACAAAATTACTTTTACATTCATAATGCCATATTAGCTACAATTAGTGTTTAATGTTTATAGAAAACTTTTTAAAGCTTTCATATAACTTCATTGTTGTTTGAATTACTAATCGAAACTTTTTCTCCAGGTGTTATCTATCTATATACTAAATTTCATTCAAATCCGTCCAGTCTTTTCAGCGTGAAAAAACTTTCATATTTATAATAGTAGTTTGAAGAGATAAATAAAAGACACATTAATGTAGGCGAATATTATATTTGATTCAATATAATTCTTAAATTACCGGCAATTTACAAGAAAATTGGGTGAAGTATAACGTTTACAAAAACCGCGAAGAAAACATATTTGTTGAATAGCATAATGGAATGTAAACAATTTGAGAAATTGTAATTAACAAGCTGTCGATATATCTATATATCTAACACTACTTTAATTTTAAACTACAATAAATAACTTAACATCTTTGGTATAAGCACTCAATTTGAAAGATACACGAAGTAGATTGACCAAAAAACATTATAGAAAAAATGGGACAGTTACCTACATGATAATTATTATAATATAATATAATTAATTATTAATAATTCAATTCATCTTTTCTACAGTAATCATGACACGTCAACTGACCGTTCGGAAAAAGATATAAATTAACATATGCACTGGACAATTGACATAATTACTCACGATTACTCAATTCTTTACTAACGAATGACGTATTTTGTATGTATGTCTCGAAATAATTGGCAGTGGATACTAAAAAGGCGTATATATGTTGTCTAAATGCATAATGAATGTGCTTTAATGTAAAAAGTATATAAATTTTGAAATATAAATAATTAGTTTAAATTTTTTTCCATTTTTTCAATTGCATACATACAAATAATTATCCTGTAAAGAGAAGGAATGGTCACTCTAGTTGGTGGTGTCTTTGCGCACTTTGTGACCTCGGAATGAGGCTTGGATCTTAGTAGCAGCTTTATTCAGGTCGGGATCCGTCAGATCGATGTTATCTATGTCTTCCTGTGGAACAAAAATCATATATTAGATTATCATTATATTTCTAGAACTTAACATATTATTTTACTACATATTATACATATATTAAAACAAATACAAACCTATCCCACGGGAACCGTACATTTTTCGGGAATAAAAAGTAGCCAATATGTTATTCTAGACTATAATCTATCTCTGTGCCAAATTTTATTCAGATCCGTTCAGCCGTTCTGGCGTGAAAGAGTAACAAACATCCATACATCCTACTCACAAACTTTCACATTTATAATATTAAATAAATAATACGGATTATACTCTCCGGCCCCGCTGAGTTTGTGTTTGATCAGGCTAATCTCAGAAATTACTGTACGTATTTAATGCAGCTTTCATCAATGGAAAAAATATTATTTAGGAAGCTTTTATGTTAAAGATATAGCTTTTGATTTATGAATATTTTACAAAAATAAGCTACCGTTGATGATATTTATAAACTAATTCGGAAAACTCGTCCCTTCTGATAGCTTTCGTAATATTATAAATGTGAAGGACACAATGCAGAAAGGATACAAACCCTTTCTTCCAACAATCCATTAGTACCAGTCAAATATTGTCTTAAAATGACATGAATCTCTGTTTGAGAGAGTGGTAGGTAGAAATAATTTTTTTTTTATTTATAATAGACTTTATCTGAAGTTATGCAAGCAAATGGCGAGGAAATGTAAAAATATATATTTTGATCAATACATAAGTACATATATTTAAGTATTTATATTTGAGTAACAGCTTACTAATTATTTCATTATAACTGCACTTTAGCTTCCTTATAATAAAACTAACTCACCCTCGTTCCGCTTGGGTTCGCTATAGTTACGTTTTAACGTTTAATAAAGATTTCACAGATATGAGATATTTTCCCTTAATAAAAAGTATCATATATGTTGACCCGGACTAAGCCAGCTACCATCATACCAGATTCATCATAATCCCTCCAGTGGTTTTTCGGTGTTGCGGTCACAGACAGACAGACAAAAATTCTAAAAACTATTGATTCGGCCTGTGTATCGATAATGATGTCTATTTCAATAAGATTTTCCAAAAAATATTTAATGTACAGATTCGGCTTAGTTACAAATTTAATATATGTATAAATAACAATATTTTCAAGAGCCTCCATATATATCTCATATCTAACCACTGATTATAAAGTAATTTTGACCTTTTTGAAGTTCTCAAGTTATTCTCACACAAACAGACATTGTGTTTTATATACGTATTGTGTAAGGGTAGTAATTCTCACAATGCAAACAATCAAACAGTTATTTCCAATTAACAAAGGAGGCATGAGATAAGATTTTCCAATTTCAAAGGGTCCGCATATTAAAGTTTATCGGAGTTTAGAGAATTCGATATAGTTAATTATTGTGACACAGCTGTAGGTATTTATAGTAGACCAAAACATCTGGCACAGAGATACTCGTAAATTATAGTCTGAAATAACACATAGGCTACTTTTTATCCCGAAAAATGTACGGTTCGCGTGGGATAGGTTTGTTTTTGTTTTCCTAGATGCGAATCCGAGCAAAGCGAAGTTGAGTCGCTAGTTTTTATATTAATTAAAATTGAAGAAAAGAAATCTAAACCTAATATATTAAAAATTTAAATAAAAAAGAACGGAAGGGGACAATGTGAGCTGTACATAAAGCTTTTAATTGAAATCTGCGTAAGGTTTTCGATTTACGTGTAGTATGTAAAACTAATTTGAAATTCAAGCTCGACCTCATATTTTTACAAACACGGCTCCAACAATGACGCTCGCGATAGCGGGCCAGTAACAAAGGTTTTAAATTATATCCTGTCGCTAATAAAAGATGACGTGAGTGGATTTTCATCGTAAACGTAACAGTAACTCTTAAAATGTAAGTACCGTGAGCAAAAGTGTTAGAAAGTTTTATAAATAAGTAAATCCATGGATGTCTGGATGTATAGATGTATGAATGTTTGTTACTATTTAACGCAAAAACTACTGAATACATTTTAATGAAACTTTACAATAATATAGCTCATTTATCAGAATAACACATAGGCTACTTTTTATCCCGGAAAAATGTACGGTTCCCGTGGGTTAGATTTGTTTTTATTTTTCTAGAGCAAAGCGAGGGTGAGCTGCTAGTTATTAAATAAAAACTCTCTCTTTTATTATCTAAAGAGCGAAATAATTCAAATCGTGGTTTAATTGATGATTTTAATTGATGGCTTAAAGAAAAATGTCATACTTATAAGATTTAAATAATACTAATTCAACTCTTAATACTTATTTTCTGTTTGGAAACTATAAGAACCTCTAAAAATGTCAAAAATTTAAAACTTCTAAAGCTCATTTTGTCATTTTGCTTAATCTTTAAGGCTTACCCTTGAACTTTACGTAAGGTCCTAATGATGGGTAATATATCAAGGGATGACAGTTTCTTTCTGGACGTAATTCACGAAAAAATAACGTGACAAATATATTAATATCATCCATATTTTGCTTAGAAATCTCGTCATTATTTTTATACTTTTAGTACTTAGCTACATTCGTATTTTACGTTTTTAATCCAAAGGTAAAAATCAAGTAATTGGAAGTCCAATAAATCATTTTCTTTAATGGATTGATGATAAATGGCGATGTATTCAGTTCTTTCTAACGTCTCGTTACTGGGCACGGGCCTGCCTTCAATACGAGGGGGGTCAGACCATAGTCCACCACGCTGGCCAAGTGCGGGAGGACTCCACATATCTTTCGAAAACTTGCTAGGTTCTCTCAGACATACAGGTTTCCTCATGACGTTTTCCTTCACCATAAGACAAGTTGTAATCATATTGGAAATAATTCGCACATGAAAATATCTAAATTAAAAAGGACTGAATACAATATATGTATATGTATGTACATACGAATAGATATTTATTGGTGTATTGTATTACCTTATCCTGTTCCTCCTTTGTCTTCTCCACCGGCTGGGTCTGCTTGCGAGCTTGATGGCCTCGGAACGAAGCCTGAATCTTGGTTGCCGCATTGCATAATTCTGCAAAAGAAATATATTTTTGTGACTTTATTCGTATCTTTGTGTTTTTTATTCATTTTTAATATATCGAAAAAAAGAGGAAATTAATATATTAATATTTATTTCGTGTGAATGTTTTATTTTGTATTTGTTTGGTATTATTGTAGAAATGTGTGGATTTTTATCATTTTTTTAATTACTTAACCGATTAAGGTTACCTCAATATCATATAAATTTAAAGAAAAAATTAGCTTTTAAGAGTGAAATATGGACGATTAAATGTGTAAGCATATATACAAATTCTAAATTTTTATTTATGTTTTCGGATTTTTCGCAAAAATGGTCACGAAAAAAAGATTGAAAAAATCCGATAAGATAGATTGGTTTATAATGTCAAATATTCGCGTAAATCTGAAAAAGTATATAATTTAAAATTTAACTTTTCAACCTATAATAAAATTAGAGATAAATGACCTATAGTACATAGAACATATAACTCATTTAATTCAATACTAATTTCAATAGAATATTTAACAATTATGTACCCACAAGCTTCTAAAAAAGTTTACAAATGAGGTTCTTATAGCTATATACTTAGAAGGCGTTATTTCATTATTTATTTATTGTTTCATTAGGCGACCACGACCGAGACCATGGTCTTACCAACTGACTGTTTATATGACGATTGCGGTCGTGTGGATGTCGCGCAGTGCAAGATATGATAAAATGTATGTATGTATATAGTTTAGATACTAGCGACCACGGTCACGGTTACGGTCGAATTAAAGCTGTCATACTGAGCTTGAGCACATATTGAGCTTATATATGTAGTAAAATTTAAATTGCTATGATTTTCTAAAAAATAGTACCTTCTAACGATTGGCATGCCGCAGTTTGACAAAAAGCTTTATATTCAATTTCTTACGAAAACCACGAAAGCTTAATATTTTTATTAGCTTTCGTGAAATTCAAATCTTTATAATCTCATTTTCAGGCTCATTAAATTTAACTAATTCCATTAAGTTTGCACTCTTACTAGCTCAAAGGAGCTTTTTAGTGGAAAAACCGCAAAATTTATTATTTTACGGTCGAATGTTGAATTTTATTTGGCTATATGCTAAGTCATGACACTAATTTATATGGTTTGTTTTATTACGTTAATACATTTTGTTAGACATTATTAGATATTCGCATTGAACGTAATTCAAACTCAAAGCATTTATATTATCAAACTAGCGATTCACCCTGCTGCGCTCGGGTTCATCCCTAGATTGCTTCTCCATAGAAACTTTCATCCCCATTTACACCCTGTTAATGGATGATTTCCGGGATAAAAATTATCCTATATACTTTCCAGGGTCTCAAACTATCTTCTTACCAAATTTCATCTAAATCGGTTCAATAGTTTCGGAGCCTATTCAGTACAAACAAACAAACAAACAAACAAACAAACAAACAAATCTTTCCTCTTTATAATATTAGTATAGATTATTGATATTACCTTAGTACATACATACATAGACAAAGTTACATAAACGATAGTTTAGATAGAAAAACTCGTCACATTATAAATAATTAAGTTAAAATATTCAAAATTCCACAAATTCAACAATATCTGTGACAATTTTTATGACGAATTTACTCAAGAAAGAAATCGATTCTGCGACCGTTAATAAGGAATCAGACCTTTTTATAGACAAAATATTCGCTAAAACCTCTACAATATTTAATGGTTTAATTAAGAAAAATTACATTAAAAATGATGTACGTTACAACAATAATTTATAAAAATCATCCATTCTAGGGTAAGACGAATGATCGCGTTTATATGTAAATTTTAAGGCCATGCGCATATTTACGATAGGGCGTAGTCCGCCGTTAGGAGTTAATGAGATGCGGAGGTCAAATGGCTATTGTTCTAACTAACTTTTGGTTGAAATGTAAGTCCCTTGCATTGCTAGCTTTAATGCTTTGATTTTTAAACGTCAAAATGTTGTAACCTTTAATTTGACTAATATTCTATAGAGGGGTACATACATATATATGTCTTTCTAAAACTTGCTAGGTTTTCTCAGACATGCAATTTTCCTTACGATGTTTTCCTTTCTGTTATTATGTTGAAATGATGGCTTCGAACCCACTTCACTCCGTTTCCTAAACGCGCGCGTCACCACTGGGCTGTAACCATCCACCAGTAATTTTTTTACTCAACTGGGACTCGAACCTTATTCAATCAGATAGCTACTATATGTATGTATACTTGTACATAGCACTAGCGGATTATCCTACCTTAAATAATCATAGTCTTATATTGTCATAGTTTTTTTCTCATGACAGATATTTTTTTTCTTTCTTCTTTTGTTGCTTTAATTAACTAATTATAATAGTGTCTTAATTTTTTTTAATAATTTATTATAGAGCTGTTAATTTTTAATTTTTTAAATGCTCCGTGTAATTGTTTATGCATGTCGTGGTTACCTATAAGAATGATAACACTTGGATTTAGACCTTCTTTGTACAATTGTGTATTTTCTTTAAGTTACTGTATATCATGTTGGTGATTCTAATTATATAAATAAATAAATAGTATATTATATATTAAAATCCAAATCCAATCGTTTCAGCGTGAAATAGAAACAAACATACACTCACATACAATTTTTCGCATATTATATAATAGCTCTCCGATAGCCTTATAATGCGACATTTTCTTTTATCAAGAGCCTAAAGAATCACCGGACAATCTGTCAGTTGCGAACAGGTGCTTTAGAGTAGTCGTATCCAATCTGACACAGGAAAGATAACTGGGTCAATATCTCCAAATGTTAGCAGTTAGACCTTTTGTTGTATTAAACCTATTATTATATAATATTCTAGGTTCTCTCTGTGTCTTTACTTGTGTATTTTAATTTTTGCTTACAAAACTGGGTTTTATTAGAGTAATATATTATTTATTGTATAATATTATATTATTCTATCATTTTGTTATAATGTGATATAAATATATTTATAATAAACTAAAAACTTAAAAAAACGACTAACTAAAAAAGAGAAATAAAATGTAAAAATAACTAAACGGGGGTTTTCATTTAGAAACGATGCCAGCTCAAAATACTGTATTCTATAAGATAATTTTGCTAAACATAATGTGAATTTTAATTCTAATTACAAAAAATAAAAACTTTTTAACAAAAAAATAAAAACCGACTTCGAACAAAAGCACTAAAAAGTAAAAAATAACTGATTGGTAGTTTTCATTTACTATACATACCTAATCAAATATTTTCGAAGTCGGTGTGCTTTGCTTTGTATGGGCTGGCACCGATTTTAATTTTAATTGGCTTTAATTACTTAGCCTATATTTAATTCGTGTCATAATCTATCTATATACTTAACTCCATCCAAATCGGCTTAGCCGTTTTGACGTGAAAGAGAGAGACAAACATATAGACAATCACCAACTTGTATATTTATAACCGTAGTGTAATTAATTATAAAAAGCATAATTAAAATCTTTAAAATATTCATAATCGGCAATATTAAAATATTTAATCAAAGAAACGTCGGCAACCCTTTATCCTACATGAAGGAGGATGATATTCATCTGACGTAGAACAGATTACATCTCCACTTTTACGGATTTAAATGAATTTATCATAACTAAACTGAAAAAAAACTTAACTATAGGTGCTATAGTATTTTATATAACGGCTTACGTTATCGACTTCTTAAAAGAAAAATATTGTAAAGTAATACAAGATATTTAAAAAAAAACATTTTTTTATATATTTAAAAAGTTTAAACTCAAAATTGCTACAAAACTGAGTTACTATGTACATATTTCCGTGGTATTTTTAGTTATGGGACATAAAAAAATGTTGACGTTTCCGATTTTAGTAATATTTGATTATGTTATAGTTTTTTATAAATAATATGTATAATAATATTTATATGTCCTCGATCAAGATACAAAATATTTTTTAACACAAAGCCCGGTTATGGAGTTAGAGGAGTTTGCGCGTAACCAACAAGTATACACTACTTAGAAGTTCATAATCTAGTATTTAAAAGTTTTATTAAATTAAGCAGTGAACCTTGTAGTCCATTTAATTCAACATTTTTAGTTGCCCTTTTTTGCTTCACGTGGAGACCTTTATGTAAAAAAAACGTGTGTGTGTACTTTTGTACGCACGTAAGTAGCCTTTGGCGTAACAGAATAAGAATAGCTAAAGATTACATCCCGTATGTCACAACTCTGTTTGTAAAAGGAAAGCAGCTAACTTCATCATGTCGCTTTTTGACTGTCGGTGTGCGCGCGCATCGTAAAAATTTTACTCTCATAATTTTTTCCAAACGTGCCAAAAGAAGTATAACTTCAAAAATAGACTTTTACATGTTAAAGATTGAGATAAAATACTAGGTTCATTTCATTGGTACAAATACCAAAAAAAAAATAAATTCTAAAAATTTCTATACTCTTTTGATTGCAGGTTTGGAAAGAAGTGGAAAAACGATGTGATTTTTTAATCAGTGTGTATTTATAGTAAAAAAGTAAATATTTTGAATATACTTATTAAGCCACTTAGATATTAAATGTAGAACTACAATAAAATTGCTCTTACTAAAAATTTAACTAAAATAATAATTTCCAAATCACACGATAAAAATATAAACGAAATATAATTTAAGAGAAATTTTACACTTTAAATTCAAATAATTCTCACAGTTTGTCGAGCAATTGATCAAGTTCTCAGGTGCTCTCGGATAACGTATGTTCGGATCTGACATGTAACGTATTAGTCTGTCTTTCAGATGTTACAGATTTGTAATATCCAGAATATTATAGAAATTCCACAAGAAATTGTAAAGTAACTCGAATAAATAATATACCTATAATTTAATTGAATAAGAACTTAGTATTAAAATCCATACTTATATTATAAATATAATCTCCCGCAGTAAAAAGTAGCCTATGTCACTCTCCAGCCCTCCAATTATTTTCACACAAAAAAATCACGATA